AAACTATATGGAATGTTTCGACAAAGTTTAACCATAAAAATTTTTTTTATTCTATTTTATTTTATTTTATTTTTTTTGTTTTTCATAGGGTGAATTAATGAGCTTTGATGATTGGCAAATTAAATTGAATTTTTAAATAGAACAGATCTTGTAATTGTGTCGAACGAATAAAAGTCATTTTTAAAATTAAATAGAGATCTATACTAAAAAAAAGCCACGAAAATAATAAAAAATATGCAAGTGGAACCACTTTTGTTTCACGACTGCATATATTCATATTTATTAACAACGTTTTTTAAGTTTTAGATTGCAGTTACTTTATTCAGTTATTCATTAAAAGTAACTTAATTAGCAAGTAACTTCTCCTATAAAAAGCTTATTTTAAGAAAAAAAAATTTTTCATTCTCATCATCTTTGAAAATTCCAATTTCCCACCTTATTGATAAAATATTTAATAATGCTATTTAAATGTAAAATCCGTACACTTTTTAATTATATTTTTTTTCTTACTTGAAATGTTCTGTTCATAATTTTCTGTCTATTTATCGCGCTGATGATTAATCACATTGGCTGTAGAGGTATCACATGATACGAGCTGTTTCTATAGTTTTTGTTTGATTTGAAAATATGAGTGTTCTCGTTTAAGATGCATTAATATTTATTTATAAGCATACAATATGATAGATATTCACCATCTCGAGAGAGTAATGTTCTTTATAATATGATTTGTAATTTGGGAGGTTTGCTATTAATATCGAGTTACGAACATAGTAAATTATATGATCCGTAACGTGATATTAATGCCATTTTATAATCTATAAGATTGCTTTTTTTTAAAAAAAAATATATCTATGTATAATATATTATATTTAAACAAAAATGAAACAAAGACTTAAAGCTAAACCCCTGACAATTCCACAAAAAGGAAAATTCCTTTAAGAACACAACTTGAATACTAATTCATATGATCGTAACCGCCCAATATAACTCACCCTGATTAATTAATAGTATGTACAGCATAATTAAATATACAAGTACTGTATATATGAATTGTAGATGCATCAGTAAACTTATGATTGTGTAAATTTTTCTTTATTACAAGATAATTAAACGTTGTTTTAGCTGCATGTATTCTTGTATTCAGACTTTTTTTTAAATGTATTTCGGCAGAAACAAATCGGTAGAGCATACCGACGAAATAGCACATATTAGGATACATTGTATCCATTTAATAAGGGAATAGCGTGTATAATAAATAAATCTCGGAGTTGTTACTTCCGCGTCTTTTAAAATGATAGGAAAGATAATGCATCATTATTGTTTGAATGAGCGTTTAGATAATCAGTGCGTGAAATCAGAATGTTCTTAATCGAAATAATCGAACGCCCATGAGAATTTTTACTGAGATATCTTCGAGTTTAATCTATTACGGAGCTGATTTCCGCGAAAAGGCTATTCATCTTCCAAGCAAAGAAGTTTTATGGCTAATCAGTGCTGAAAATCATTCTTAGAATGTTATTGAAATCGAACGCCTATTATCCGTTTTTCGATATATCATTTTGTCCAAGCCTATCTATTCTGTATAAATCATTAGAATAAGGGAGGGATTGTACGCCTTTTTGCAAGTTATTTATGCAGTGTTTCGGAGAACTTATCTTGAATGATTTCAGACAAAGACGAAACATATGCAATTCATTTTGGAATATAAAAAAATTTTTAAATCGGAATTATGAATTGTACGAATGGATTGGACTGGGACGTCGATCACTTCATTCCATGGAATTAGTGGGATCTCCAATGGATAAATGTTCAAATCGAGGTTGAATGCTTTGCATATCATTATAAAATACTTTTATATAACAAAAATGATTCGCAAATAAATAAATAAAAGATGGATTATTCAATGAAATTCTTTTTATAAATAAAAAAAATGGTTATTTTAAGTATTTGAAGTACATAATTTAAATAATCGATTAGAATACGACATAAATTGAAGAAACGCCTGCATTCTATAAATTAACTAACTATTAGGACAACTTTGAAGTCGTTTTAAAAGAAAGTTCTTAGGATCGTAATATTTAGAGTTAACAACGAATCTTATATTATATAGATTAAATTGAAAAGTCGCTTATTAATCAAAATAGAATTTATATTGTCAATTATTTTTTGCTCATCATTGAATTATGTTGCACAATGTCAGACCTTGTTTGTCATGAATTGTGTTTCGTAAAGAAATATTTGTGCAATATATGATCAGGTTGTGTATTGTAAATTAGAATGTTAGTTTTTTCGGTATTCATTATAATAAATAAATGCGGCAATGGTATATTTGATTTCGTAAATACGTTTTTTCAATAAAATAAAAATAAAAAAAGTACTTTCAAATTAAATTTGTTCGGCGACATAAAAATGATCATAAAAGAGATTTTATCAATTTATTTATATTACCGAATTCAAAATATATATATATATATATATAAAGAATATAAACATGTATGAGGCAAGTAAAATTTTAAATCAACCCGGGTTTATTTATTAATAAAAAATTTTTATATATAAATAGTAACAGTAATTAATTATAATCCATTTCAGTTGGCAGTAAAGAGAAGAAACAAACAAAGAAAAGAAATATAAAAAAAAATCAAGTAAACCAAAAAATGACGAGAACAAATTTGATTAAAAGTCAATAAAGTGTTAATATAAATATTCGTATTGTTACATTGGATATATTTCCACCCGAAAAATCATTTCGCTCATAAATCGCCTTTGAAGAACATATTGTTAGGATGCTATGTTAATTTTATTAAAGTTTTAATATATATGTGCTGGGTTTTTCTTGGAAATTTAGCAAGTTTTATAAATTCTCTTTAGCGCAGTTGCCTTTATATATACAATCGACCCTCTATATAGTCACACCCCTTTATATGATGTGACTATATAAGAGTCCTATAAGGGAGGTGTGACTATATAGGGGGTGACAATATAGGGGGTCGACTGTAAAACTGCAGTTTAAGTGAAACTTATAATTTAATGACAAAAATTTACCGCGCTAATTTTTTGCTTTTTTTTTACACCTGCCATTGTGACTTTTTTTTCACCCCAACATATTTTGTTGAATCTTGAGAAATTTTATTTAGAATTTCTTTAAATGGTATAAATCATTACTTTTTATATAAACCTATCGACTCTATAATTTTCTGATAGTAATCCTTTTCCCGATAAGATTAAAGTATTTCCTTTTCTCAGAAATCTTAGTAAACTCAATCGGGTATTGTGCTATATTTTTTTAATGTGAAATCGGGAATTCGAATGTCATATTTTGACATTAAATCATTATGAAGATTTTGTAATGATTAATGGAGATCCGAAAGTACAGAACGTTGACGCGAATTGTAGCTGGGCAGATCTTTAAATCATTGGGTAACAGTTAATTCGCTATTGTAATAATTTTTCAAAAATAAATTTTTTTGTTCCTATCCATAATGAATAAAATAAAAATAAGGTGATATTTAGCACGTGATTGTGTTTGACATTTAGTGGATATTTTCATGGGGGAAACTGCCGGGCATTAATAAACTATTTTAGCGGCTTCCATACTTGCATCCATTTTCCCTCTACCATTTTCATCTAATCTTTGAAGATATTCAAATATAAACTTTCATTTTATCGGTTTTATTTTTTTATAAATTATGTTTAAAAAGTTATTTACAAATTTAATCACGTGTTTTTATTTTTGAGTATAGGTAAAATGTACTATATCATTTTTGATCGCATGTTAAAATATCAAGGCGAGTGTTTCGGTGAGTATTAAGAATTTTCAGCATTTTGCAGTTCTTTAATAGCTTTTGGTAATTGGCAAGTTTTATTCATTAAACATTAAATGAAAAATTACAGAGTTCTGCATGCAAAATTAATATACTACAATCAATCAATAATTAATGTTGCTTATCTATGATTCCCATCTCATCTAAGATTTTTATATCGAAAATTACTACGTTGAAGTTTATTATAATTGCTCTTTTCGGCTCAAAAAGAGTCGAATCAAAATCGTGATCGTCATGAATTTTTGATAACAATCAAAAAAATTTTTTAATTGATTACTTCACATGCATCTGTTTGTATTTAGCTTAGCGTTCAAAGGTTTAGGAGAGACGAAACAAAACCGAAGTGAAACCGAATTGGAACCGAGAGAATTGTCCCCATTCCGAGATTCACTTAACTTGTTGCTGAACTTGTTGCTGAAACTGTGTAATTATTCGAAAAATGAGTGGATGTAATACCAATATATGAATGCGGTGTATCATCTTCCAGTAAAAGTTAAATAGCATGTTGCCATTATAATCAATAATTAGAGGAATGAAAGTAATTTCATTTTGTATGAGTTGAATGTTTGGAACACAGGAAGCATCAATGGTGACTTCGCTAACTTTTAAAGGTTATTAATGGTCAACAAATTAGATATGAACGTAATTTTTTTTTTTTTTAGGTCGTATTGTAAAAAAAAAAAAAAACCATAGACTACTGCGTAATGATTGACACAATAGTAAATTTTACAATGGGCTTTGTAAAATTCAAATTTGGTAACTACTTTCGAAAAATATTTTCATGGGGCAAATTCAATTATAGAGTTGGAAATGGAAAAAGTTCAATGCAAAATTAAACTATCAAACTTGTCTGGCTTTAAATGGAAAAGAAAAAAGGAATTTATAAATTCCAAACTTCCTTGAAACAAACAATCTAGAACATAGATTCAATTCTTTAATTCTTTGTAATATTTAACAAAGAGTAAAACACTTTCATTTATTTACGTTATATATTTGTTTAGATCTTGTGTTATATAAGCGGAATTTGAATAAGCTAATTTCCATGCAAAAAAAAAAAAAATACGTAAATAGCCTTTTATTTTCTTAAAAAAAAAAAAAAAACGTATTTTTCTCGTAAAAAACGGTTATCAAATCCATATACAAATCATAATTACTTATTTAAACATTTCTTGAATAATGGGTGAAAATCTAACACAATTCCATTTCTTTGAGCCAGAGAAATCAGAAAAACGAATGAATAAACCAAAAAAGAGAGAACCAAATATGTTTATTTCATACCGTAAAGAAATGATGAAACATAAACCACCTAATATGCAAATGACTGAATACAGCAAACTAGTATCAAAATGGTGGCGTAACCTCTCAGAAGGTGAAAAGACTGAACGGGAGAGAAAATATCAAATCAACCGAGATCGAAAGCAAAATTAACCACATATTCTTTGATTTCTAAACAAAAGATAGACTTGTTTTTGTAAGTTCTTAGCGAAAAATAATAATTATTATTTTTTTTTTAAAATTTAGTGACTACAAACAATATTATTTCAATGTGGATAAATTACTCTCCATTTAATTTTTGATTTTAACTTTATTTAGATCAAAATCAATGCTAGCTGGTCAATTTATGCACAATAAATTAGGAAGGCCTACAATAGAAATAAAAATAAACATATTATTCAAATTTTAATATTTTTGATGCAATAAGCAAATCTTACATTACATGCAAGTGATCATAATAATCATGATCTTTGATGCAAGATTTATAACGTGGTAATCCTATTAATTGCTCATTTAAGATAATTCTTACTAAAAATAATATCATTTGCATTTTCACCTCAAGAAAATTCCATCACTATCGAAAATTCTCTTCTTTCTCAAAGAAAATAATATATATTTTTTTTTACATTGCAATTGAAATTTCCGTATTCAGTATTCACAATAATTTCTGAATTAACGTATAAAAATAAAAAATTATCATCTGGATTTATTATTAATAAAATAATCATAAGTATAAATTGCGTTACCAACGAACGTCCATGTGGTGATCAATTCAATGTACTGGATGAAATTGTGAATATATTTCAATACGTATCAACATCAACATTTTGGGTTGAAGATTAATGTTATGAGAGTGAAATATTTGATATTTCTTGAAACTTATTTTTTTTTTTTTTTTTACAATATTACTTACTGTGCATACAATGCCTTTCTTCTTTAAAGATAACCTTTTACCCGTCATAGTTTGTTCATTAATTGTTGTTTTGGATATTTCTTGAAAAATTATTAATAAATCAACGGTAAATTGCTTTAACTCTACATCTTCTTTAGTAAATAATGATCAAATTTCAACCTGAAAATTATATATAATAAGGTCAATGTGAATAGTGATGGTAACTCAGATTATGATGAAAATAAATAAATTTGGTTTTAATTGAACTATAATATACGTTACACGGGTGAAATATAAAATGAAATCCTTGTTGGAAACAAAACTAAAATTGAATACGAACCATTTCCAAGACATCTAAACCTTTGTTTGCTTCCTAATTATTTTCAACAAAGATTAATATATTTTAATAAGAGTATAATAAGAACCTATCATTAACGTTTTTAATATTTAATATGCCAAATACTACTAATTAGTAAAAAAATCGATTTGAAACTGGTTTTGAAACCGGTTTTAAGGATATCTTCTGAGTTTCGATACAACTCTTTATTATATCGGATTGGGATGTTAATAAACTTCAATTTAAAAAAAGTTATGGTCTTAGCAAAACCCAACTCTTGCTCTTCAATCTATTTTTAAATAATAAACTTCATCATAAAAGTAAAAAAATTTTTTTTTAAAAAAAGAGTAATGTAAGTGCACTATGAAATATACTGTATTCGGTCAGATACATTTTGTGAAACCTAAATTCGTATGACATTTGGTACATAATTATGTTGTATTACATAAAAATTCTTCAGAATATGTAGGACCTTTGCACTAGAAAGGGAGGAAACTGCCGGGGGAAAAAAAATTGAATTATTGCTAAATCTGAATATACTGTATCTCGGCCTAAAAATCATATTTGGCATATAATAGTAAAATGAGTTTTTCCCAGCAGGTTCCCAAGTTCCTATTTAATACAATTGATTTTTTCTTTGAAAGGCTAATTAAGAAAAAGACAAGAAAGTATAAAACGTATTACAAGATTATTTTTGTTCTAGAACGCACCAGACCATCTTTATGATTTTTAAATACTGTAACCAGGCACGAATATCAAAAACTATTTTATGATTAGTAACATTTCATTTCTTTCTTCATTTTATTTAGAAAAACAAGTCTATTACCATTGATTAATGCGGAAAAATCTAGACTATCATTATAAATAATTGTTTAATATAAACATTGTCATTGAATGCATAAATTCACAATGTGGCAGTTGCACTCGAAATATGTCACTTCTCTATGACCATTTATGATCATGTTGTGTGCATATAAACAAATGGATTAAGCCATGATTGATGCGTGAGTTGTACACATCCAGAATAAGATGAAATCTTTGAATCTAGATTTCCTAAACTTTATCTAAAAAATAAAAAATTAAATCGATTCGAATTTTTTAACGCGCCTCGTTTTTAATTGTTTGAGTACAACGTTCCATATTAACAGGATCTAGAATTTCATAAACTTTATCATAATAAAACAAATTTAATTTGTTTCTTTGAAAACTTTGCTTTTTTATACAAAATCTTTGGTATAAATATGGATTGATTTATCTTACTCTCAAATATACTTGCGCTACAAGTTTACCATTATCAATAATATTTATTATTCAAAAATGCATTCAAATAGGCCTCTCAAACTTTGTACAAGATCTCCTAGAAACATTATTCAAAGAAGAAGGCGTAGAAGGCAAAAATTCATCATCAATGAAGATACATTGAATAGAATCGCAAACCTACCAGCTCAAAATACAGATGATCTTAAGATCTATGAATTTTTTAATGGAAGTTCGTTCAATTAAAGCAAACATATTTTTTTATTTATTTATTTTTTTTTTTAAAAAAAATGTTTTATACAAGGTAAGAATTTTTCTTTTTGATATCGCGCGTTTCTTATTTTTCGTTTGGACACGCCATTAATTCATCATTTTGATATTTTCCGCAGGATAATACAAATCATGGTTATTTCCTCGGTTATAATTATTAAAATTTTGTAAATTAAGATTAACGTTAAGAGTTGATCAATTTTTTTTTCCGTATATTTAACATTATATGAAAATAATATAATCTAATGGGCTGCTACAAATGCGGCATTCAAAACATTAATATATTTAAGAAATTAAGAATAATTCGCGCTAGAATAATGCGTAGTTATCATTAAAAGGCAATTTTACATTTTTATATTGTCTAAGGAATATCAACGCAAAAATATCAGAACTTTCTAAGATTAGACATTTAGACATTAAAATAATTTAATTAAATTTTAAAATTTATGTAACCCGTGTAAAAATAAAAAGGCTCCGCGAAGTTAACGAAAATTTCGTACCATATTTGCCAACGAACATATTAAAAGAAAAAACATTTGGAAAACCACAACGCCTCAAAACCAGGAAGTTGTTGCTTTATATTTTATTGATGAATTCTGTTGACCCGAAGATTACTGTTCATTTTCTGAATGTAGATATTCATAAAATGAATTTTATCATTCAAACTTGTTTTGCATCATTCAATTGCAAGTGCGTCGTTAACAATGCATTTAACCCGAATCAAAGTGGATAACAATATATGAATCATTGAATGTTATACTGGATAAATTTAATTCATTCCACTTATGAAGTCTATTCGCATTATCAACGCAGATCATTTCTAAAATCGGTAAATAAAATTTTCGTATATTACATAATGAAATAAAATAACAACGCAGAGTAGTAACTTTTCTATTCAGTTCAATGGTTATCATCTTCTTTCATATCTTTTGGTTAGCTTTCTCTAATCCTATGAGACTGTACTCATTAGCTTGTCGCAGTTTTGAAAGCAAAACCCTTTTAAGAATGAATAAAAAAAAAATGAAGGATAACGTTGCCAACAATCACATGAACAGAAATCTTTGTGATTGTTGAATCAGAAAAGGAAGTATATTAAAAGGCATCTTGAATTAATATTGCAAAGGAGTGAACGTTTGCGGTATTTTTAATGAATAATGCTCAAGTTTATTAAATAAAGATTTTATGATACAAATTGTTCAAATTCCTTTTAATAGGTTATTCATCAGTGGTTTGTTATTTATGGACTATCCTACTTTGAATCGTTATTTTTAGAAATTAAATGAATTATTCGTGATAAACTTTCAAATTTTACATTGTATTTCCTTTTAAGAAACAATTACACTTTGCTATCCTCTTGAAAATATATTCCCATTCTAAAATTTTACAGATTTTTGGGGGCATCTGAAACTGAGGTCGTACAACATTTGAATCCGTATCTAAACGGTAACATAATAATATATCTTTTAAATTCAATTGCTAAACCTTTTATAGGAGTTATTAGGCTTCTTCCAATGAAATATTCAAGAAAATGGTATTTTATTCCTGGATTTACTTGAAATATACCGCCGATCCTTCCAAAATTTCCATCATTGTTCTGAGAATTTATTTCGATTAAAAAGATAAAAAGCTTGAATTATTTATGTAAGATATAATAAAATGTCAAAATTATTTTCCAAAAGGGTCAATCTTTTGCAAAAATAACATCTTGCATTATCCGGAAACTCGTTCTGAAATCACCTCTAGCGAGCATAGAGGACATCTTGATTTTATCACATAGTGCGGCGTTCATTTATCGGTCACTTGTCGATCATTTATTCATTTTTATCACATATTAAAAATGCCGTTTAACTCGAATCGGAATATCGTAGTAAATTAACATACATATGAAGCAACGAAATATCAATTTTTTAAAAATTGAATCATTATTGAGTGACTTTTATTAGAAGTAATGTTTTGCGATAAAAGTAACCGTTATCAACTATTTTTTAAAATTAATTAGTTCCAACTGAACAATTCAGCATCTTTGAGTACTAGTGTATTAGTTTTATTAAAATTGAATAACTATTAAATAAAATTAGTTATGAACAATTTTTATTATTAATATATATATTATTATCAATTTATATGATGCATTAATTAACAAATACTGAAAGATCTTACATATAAATAAAAACTTGAAATTTCTAGTATTGATAAATAATATTACAATCTATTTGTATTTAAAATTTTGATAAAACTGAATAAATTTATTATAGCAAATTAATTTTTTTTGTTTATTAATAAATTGGTTGTAAATAGCATATAAATAACTTTTTGGTTTCAAGCGAATTGAGCTGGTTTCATTTCACCATACATTCCTAAATAGTTAATTAATATATAGTGAAAATTTCAGAGTTCGCCCGAAATTATCTGTGGTTCGCCCGAAGCTTCAAAGTCAGATGATCGGCAATTGTGATAATATAGTCTAAGGCTAAAGTTGTGACATTTTTTTAATACCATTTAACACTTGTAATAGTTTCAACTTTTAATAGTTAGTATATTAATATAATTTTACCCAAAAATTTATAGGGTTTGACAAAATCAATGTGATAAATATATATATATGATTGACAAAGGATCGGCATGGTGATATAAGCATGTCCCCGCTATGCTCTTCTAGCGTTCCTGATTTTTGATTTTTGATTTATTTTCATGTACCCGAGTTATTTAGTGAAAAGGCTCATAATTCATGAGAAAGACTTACGCTATGATTTTTAAGATTCATGTATTACTTATTATTTTATCGGAAATCATTTCCGTCCGTTTTTTATTTATACTATTAATTGTTAATTGAATTGCCTAATTGGTATGTTTCATATCGGTATGTCTCACCGATTAATTCGAATAATTTAAATATTTTCCCACAACATAAATAAAAAAAAAAAAAATATGTTTAATGGATGCAGACCGGTTACTATAAAAGCGTCTATAATTCGACCCGTCGCAAATAAAAAATTTTTTCCTCAACATACCTAAGAAAAAAAAAAAACCAAAAAAAATAAATTATTTAACGCGTCGAAATGGAAAATAAGTCTTATGAAATTAAGTTCAATATGCTTTTGATTGGAATGTTAAACATGGTTGGTTGAATTATCAAATGATTTTGTCAATTTTCAAATATATACTTATAACTTATTATGCTAACTCTTCACCTCATGATTTCTCAGCTCACGTTCCAAAACCTCGTTAAATCTGTTCTGCTTTATCGCGCTGGACGGGAAAGAAGCTTGTCTTTGCTCAAGATTTTTTTTAATCTTAGCTGCTTAGCGTGCTCCATAATAGATTTGATGATAAACATATCTTTAAAAGAATGTATGTGGTCTAGCTATCAGACAATTTTTAAGATTTTCATAATGCAATCATTGGCCACTTTCATGTTGACACTTCTTAGACGGTACGAGAAAAACGATTCTGACATGTGGATGAGCATTGGATTGCTTACTGTCAGAGCAGGATTTCATGTAGGTATTAAATGATGATGCTTTCGTCGTAAATTTTGCAATTAATTTAAATTTTCCTTACTTTTCGTTTGGTATTAGTTTGTATATACTTTTCCAATGATTCCTTCATCCAATCTGTCTGAAAATCCTACTTCTTTTTATGGTGGAATGAAAAGCGAAAAAAGTGAAAGCGGTTTTTATTTCAGTAATTTGACCTTCGTTGATATCATTATCGATGGTTACGTCATGTATCGATTGATGCAGATTTTAAAAAATAACCCAAAAATTGGATATTCTTATCCAAAAGATATGTTTACCATTGTTATGTATTGGAATTTTTTGACCGTAGTGACCGCATTCTTGTATCATATGTTAATAGCATTAAATATTACCGAGAATAAGGTGTCGATTACAAATGTGACGACGCAAATTGCTCTCTCTTATCTCATCACCATAGATACCGGAATCAAGGGTGGAAATGAGAAAGTTATGAAAGTCAACCATGTAAATCATTTATTGTAAAAATTAACATTTCATCTTTAAGAAAACCTTAAAATTTTTTATTTCGTTCATGTATTATTATCACAAGTATATTTAATTATCATGAAATATTCGAATTGTATTATATAAATAATAAAATATTAAATATTAAAAAATCATTTATCTTTATATTATAACATACTGTATATGGATTGTTGTTTTGAATTGAAATGAAAATAATGAAGTTAGGTTACATTAAAGAAAAAACCCAAGACAATGAAGATTTACATAATTAATTTGTCCTGAGCGAAGCGAAAGGACAATCTAAGTCTGCACAATGTGAAAATTTTTCGTTCACGTATGTTTTTTCTGTCCGCTCACTTGATGTTAACCAATAATTCCTTTTGCGATTATTGAGCTCAGAACTTACAATATAAAAATTATGATAGCCGATAGTGGCGCATGATGCGTCATGTGTCCAAGAATAATTTATGTTCAGATTTGGCATTAACTCATCTTTTCTTTTTTTGGCAGTATTTCCTAATTTATAATATAAAACTTTTATATTCAAAATATTAATTTGCTAAAATTTTAAATACAAATTAATTCTTTTTAAATATAACTAAATTTTATATTTAATTGCTATTAATATTTTTATATTTTAAAAAATCTGAAAATATTAATAAATATTTTGAATGTTGTAATTTTATAAGTTAAATAGCTTTTACTTGCCATTAAGAAGATTTATTTTTTTTTTACAAATTAATTTTTATTTGTCTAAGATTCAATAACGCTCATATTCTTCATTTTATTTCATTATTATTATTTTTTCTTATCCTTATTATGCTTCTTTATTCTTTATTATTATTCATTATTATAATCATTGTATTAATTTAGTCTTCTTTATTATTTTCTTTTCTATTTCTGTTTCCTTCTG